TAAAGAAAAATATGTGTGTTTCAAAAAGAAGGCCAACTGCATAAAAAAGGCAGTTCTTTCAAAACATTCTGTATTTTAGGGTTCAGCAATTCACACTGGCTTTAACCTTGAAGATCCCAAATAGTGTCTTTTCATAAGGCTGACTAAAAGGAACTCTTTGATATATATCCAAAACAAAAAGGTAGCATTTCATAGACTAAAGAATTCTGTGCAAAAACACTATACAAATGAAAGATATCAAAAAGCACTAAAAATGAAAGCAAGTAAAGCTGAGGAAGCTAGTATGACTTCAGGCATGACTCACACACACTTTCCTCCCCACCTAACCCCTTACAGTTTCACACAAGCTGGGAATGATCTGACTCCAACTCTCCCACCTCTCTGTTGGAAAGGAATACCCTCTCTCATCCTACCAATCTCTCTTGCCTTTTCTCTCCTCATCTGTAAAAAAGAATAACAATCATCCCTGCAACTTCACAAGAATTATGTGATAGTCAAATTAGAAAGTATGTGAGTTATTTTGTAAACTTTATTAGGCCCATGCACTGAAAAATGGTTATTAATATAGCCATTACTGGACTGTTTCCCAAGCCTACACTCTCCTTGAGGGCCTTTTCCATTTTGTACTTTGATGCCAGGGAAAAGTACAATGAACTAAATACCTAGAGCTAGATCCACCTATGGAGAGAAGAAAACATTCTGGGCACATATTGGAAGAGCTAAGCTTTAATCAAAGATTCTTGGAAAGCCAGAGATACACTCCACCTAGAACAAGATGCAGTGTTAGAAATAAGGCCTAGAGAGTCTAAGATTCACCTCCTCCATACCATTCCTTGGGGCAAAGGCACTGGAGATAGATCCCTGTATGAGGTCTTCTGGAGAGGCAGTTATTTTGGGAGAAACGGCTCAATTCTCATACCTAAAAGCAAGTACTTGGTTAGCCAAAAATGAGATCAGAGGTTGATATAGCAGACTAAAGAGGACATACTTCGGTATAATCCCTGCAACTACCAGTGTGCATCATCTGATCAGTCAAGTACTATCTAGGCCTCACCATAGAACACTACAGCACCTCACCCACAAGACTGTTGGAATCCCTCAGCTCCTGAAGCTGATTCCAAGTCCTGCTCACTGGCTTTACAATCGAACTGACTCTTCCAACTTGTCCAACTTCCCCAGTCAGAAACTATTGAATCACAGAAAGAACACCCCCTCCCAAATGCACACTACAGCTGGGCTAGTCATGTTTCCCCAAGCCTCAAACAAAACGGGGTAAACTCTACAAGCAGATGTTGCAGGTTCTGACAGAAGCACTCTTAACAAAAGAAAAGTGCTCAGTTTGTTCCCACAAAGCTATCACTTTACTCTCCTTGCTGAAGTCAAAAGTTATTTTTGAAGTCAAAAATATTTTTCAGAACCTGCAGACCTTCTACACTAAAGTTACGTAGTGGATCAGCTAAACTTAAGGATGGAGTAGTGACTATATAGAGGTACTTGAACCCATGAGTCTTCCAATAAACAGTCCCCATGATTAGGCAAGGCTAGGCTCTGTATGCCTGTTGTGAACATGTTTTCTAGGCATTTGCAGCCAATGAAGATTTTGTTCTTTCTGTCTTCCCTCCCCCAAAGCACCTTTCCAAGCCCCACTTGGCTATATCCCTTGTAAGGAGACTGTGGGGCCTGGGCCTTTAAATGACAGGCTCTGAAGTTCAGTGGGCACTGTGATACAGGGGTTGCTAGGATACCAGTAGAGGCCATTTTCTTTAATTCTTGGGTGGGAAGCTGGGAACCAAAATCCCTGAGCTGGGATTTTGCCCCTCCTAGTAGCAAAAGCTTATCCTCTACTCAAATGGATCAGAAAGGAGGAAAGGGGGGAAAAGACATTTATGGGGAAATGTCATGGCAATTCAAAGAGGAAAAGCCCTCTTACTTCTCATCCTCTTCCAGTGGAAGGGTGGTGTTAGGGAAGGGAGAAAAGGGAAGAAAAGTAGTGGAGGAAAGAGGAAAGACTAAGAGAGGAGGCAGGAGGAGGAAAAAAGAAGACAGATCAAAATGCATAGGGTTCCATTTCTCTGGACTGCATTTCTCATATTCTCCCACTCTTTTCTCTTTTTGCATGCCCTCACACTTCTGAAGGAGAAATGCCAAACCTTCAGGATTCACACAAGTAAAAAGTCACTTTGCCACCTTTTGTTCTCTACTGCCCAAATTACCTTTTGGCTGTTCCAGGAAAACCGGCCATTTGACTAACTCCATCCCTTATTTACCTACGGAAAAATGAATTTGAAAGGTGTGAACTACCATAGCTAAATTACTGGTGGAAGGGTTTTTCAAGCTACCCATATAGCCTGAGGGGTTTTAGGTGGTGGAAGAAAGATGCATGGGTGACACCCATCCATCCTAGTCCCATTTAAATCCTCACAAGGAGGCCATTCAGAACTGTGGAACTCAGTGCTGTCTTTCCTCATTCCTACCACCACCACCCTCCATCCACACTCAGGAGTGTGCACCCACACAAACACAGAGAAAGGCATACACACACTCCCACAAACATACTGCTACCACCCCAGACACATACATTCCAAAAGGGTTTTTGCCAAGGGTCTGTTAAGCACCCAGGGGGGAAGGCATTTCATGATACTACTTAGTCATAAGCCAGGTTCAAAGATTAGTCTTAGAAATCCATTCTCCCTTTAGAGAAAATAAAAAGTCCAAAAAAATGTCAGTGTTGCAATCCCCATTTCCTTACCACATAGGAAGGACAAAAATTCCTTAGGTGAAATTCTCCAGATATTAGTAAAAATATTCAGCCTCTCCTCCCATCATCTCTTAATTAACATATCAGTATCCTTTTCACTTGACTTTCCAGTCAAGGGGGATGAACTGGAAAGTACTTATGGGTGCCCAAATTATAGAAAGCAAGAACTTGGAAGTCAATTAACTAGTCCAATCATTTCAAAATGTCAATGTTACAGGGAATCCCAAACCCACTGAGGAAGGAAAAAAATTCCCCAAGGTCAAATAGCCACTGAATGAAGAAAATTCCAGTCTGCAGCTGCCCAGTCTTTTCCCCATTCTCCAACACTGTCTAAAAACAAAGTACCAGGTAAGACAGAATCTTACTTTAAATAATATCTCTCGGAGCTAACAGATTGAAAAATAAACAACTCACTAGATTCTTTGCAAAGAAACAAGTTCTTGGTTCCACACAAGGGGTCTTCACAAAGAGACCAAAGAGTAATCAATAATAATCAATGCCAGCAAACCTCCCAGATCATGTTTATACCGTGATACAAAAGAAGAAAAAAACATAAAAACACAACTCAGCCTCTCACCCACACTGAGTCAATAAGAATGTGCTTTGAGGCTCAAAATCTTGACTGACATCATTAAATAACTCTGGGTCCTGTAGTGAGAACAATTAGAAGGACCCCTTCACAGCCCCTCTCCCTTTATAATCAGTTCCAAAGAGATTCAACAAAATGGCATGGAACTTGACAGCATAATACCAGCAGATTTGCATATCATACATGAGCAGCCACCCACATTAGTGTAGGGGGAGAATGTGTGTGGATGTGTATGAACCCTGATTCATTGCTACATGAGCCAGAAATAGCAATATTTCAAGTCAGGTAAGCAATGGAATGAGGAAGACCTGCCTACATCAACAAAGGAGAAAAAAAGTAATGTGTACACTAGCATCAGAAACAAAATTTTCCTAGTTTTTCCAAGAGCTTTTTTAGCAGAAACAGAAATATAAAAATAATAACAGCAACCACCACCATCATATGATACAAACAAGCAGACATATCTCAAATTGGAATGTAGCTCCCAGCTCATGTTTCCTGAGCTCTCATCCCATTTCATCTAGACCTCTTTTTAGTGCTCAAAACTCAATTTAGCACATTACATACATTCAGTTATGGTAATGTGTCAATTAGACCTGTGCTCTTAAAGCAACAAACCAAAGAATACCACCACTACTTTGTCATCAAAGCAATCAAGTTCTATTTAGAATGTAGTTCAAGAACATTATTGCAAGTTACCCCAAAGGAGACACATCCAATACTATTATTCCCAAGGTAGGTAAAAAGCTGGATTTTGTTTTTTGGATGAGAATCAGAAAAAATCCTCAAACTCAAATCCAGGGGTACAATCTCTGGGGAAAGAAGCCCAAACATGTCTTATCAAAGTCCTCTCTTGCCAATTCAAAAGATCAGAGAACATTTTTATATCCCATTCCATGATTCCAAAGAAATTTATATTTAATGCTTTAAGAAATACTTTAAAGGTGGCTTCTTTCCAAATTGGAAACTGTGAACCCTGGACAGCATATTGAGATTCAAAGGACAGAGTCACCAACTGCCAGCTCAAGGAACCCCACCGCGTCACTTCCCAAATTCTTGCTTCTCATTATAGATTAAAGAATCATTTTCCCTAAATCCATTTCTTGCATCAATTTTTCCCTTCTAAATATCCAGTGCACAACTGCCATTCCTAAGATCCAAAAATTCATCATGCTCTTCCACAATCCCCTTCCCCCTTCCCCCCACCTCAAACAAACCCAAATGCACTCCAGATGGCAAGAGACAAATTTTGAATAAAATTCCCCAATGGAGTTTAAAGGTAGTTTTCAAGAAAATGAGTTGACAAGACACCACAAACAGCGAAGCCACTGTTAAGGACGCAGAGCTTGCCCCATGAACGTCACATAGATGGAGGATGCACACACGCATGCACACTTAAAATAGAAAACATTTCTTTATCAAAAAATTTCACTCAAGCAATAAGCAACTACACTCACAGGCATACTTAAAAGACAAGACATGACAAAAGATTTAGGGAGAGATAATATACCAACGTCATACATATCACAGCGAGGCCATGTTGAAGCTCAAAACGTTTTCCCCCCTGAATAAGAATTGCTCTTTCTCTCCCTCTCTTTCCCTGTCTCTGTCTCTCTCTCTCTTGCTCGCTCACTCTCTCTCTCTCTCTTTTGCTCTCTCTCTCTCTTTTTTTTTTTTCTCGGTGGCTCTCGGGATGAAATCAAAGCGAGAGTTCACGACAGCTCAGGTGGCTGGACTCCATTCAGCGCGTTCCCAGGAAAAACATGAGTATGACATTGACAAGCAGGAGGACTACAATCACAGCAAAAACGACTACAGTTTGCACATCCAGGGTCATGGTGCAATGCAGAACACTGTAGTGTTCCAGGTGGGGGGCTGGCAGATTGGGAGATGTCAGTCTCTGTTCTGTCAGACTGTCCATACAGCCACCATGCTAGAAAGGAGAGGAGGAAGTCGGATGGTTAGGGAAGGGCCGGGTTTGGCGCCCGAGTTTGGTGGGGGGGGGGTAGGGGAGGGGGATGGGGACAGGGGCGCTTGTTTCCCCCTTCTCAGGATTGGGCTGCTATTCCTTCCCTAGTTGAGAAATCTTAGCTTGCGCTGAAGACGGCAGAGTCCAGCATTCTCTCTCGGGCGCCAAGGAAAAAGCAAAATCCTGGTTTTCAAAGGGAAAGGCGGGAGGAACCTATCAGAGGTTCTCCAGCGCCTGAGTCTGTCAGGGCGTGCGTCAGTCCGCCTGCCTGGCTAGCGGTCAGTCTCAGTCTCCCCTATTCTCTCTAACTCGCTTGCTTTCCCAAGCTGGCTTCCTTCCTTGCTCGCTCTCTTCGCGGGGCTCCAGGCTGCCAGCCACTCTTTCAAGCCCTTGCTCGCTGGCCCTCTTTCTCTCCTCTCCCCACCCCCACTTCAGCCCGTAGGCTGCCTTTTTATTCACCGAGAGACTGCGGGCGCCTGCGTGAGGCGCAGCCAGAGAGGCTGACAGGCCCACCCGCCAATAGCAGATGCTGCAGCAGCGCGTACGCTGCCTGGAGGCGGGACTTGCGCTGGCATGCTAGCAGTGGCAGCCAATCGGAGTTCCCAAGACTCCCTGAGCTGGCTTGCTCCATTCCAAAGAACCCTGAGCCACTGGCAGTCAGTTTTGGCATGGGGGTGGGGAGGCTTGTTGGGGGTGGGTTGAGGGGGATGTTGAGAGGTAAAGGAGAGACTGGGAAAGAGGGAGGGAGCCGGTCAAAGGGGCTGAAGGGGAGCGAGCTTGGGCAGGGAGGGAGGAGGTGACCACAGAAAGAAAGGAAGGTGGGAAGGAGGAAGAAGAAATTGGGGCTATGATGAAGAGGGAGAAAGGTTGGGAAATGGCAGGGTAAAAGAAGAGGAGGAGGGAATAGGAATGGAAAATTGGGATAGGTAGGTAGGGCGGATGCAAATACCTTGGCAACCACTTTGGACCCTGGGCCTAGGGGGAAGCAAACGGTATTTGGCCACTGCCTAAAGTATATACAGGCAACTTACAATTAGCTATAAAAAGCTCACAATCCAGTGCTATAGGGAGAACCACATGGACATACAACAAATTATTCAAAATCCAACTCTATTTGGCTTTCTCTTATATAGAGATGCTCTGGCCCTTTCCTAATTATGGTTTCTTCACACTACAATGGTTCACTGGCACTCTTTGAGCATGCTGAGTATCCAAACGGGAAGCCAGCTCAGGGTTAAATATTTGCCACATATAAATTTTAAATAACTTACAATCTACTTGTAATAATCTCCTCATAAAGTGACCTAGTGTCTAACCCTAGAGGGGAAATGTCCTAAACTAGAGGCTGGAAGGTTTCATATTTACTTCAAGCTCTACCTCAAGCTTGCTGTGTAACTTTTGGACAACTCCTTTCCAGTATCTGGGCCTCCAAGTCTCTGTCACATGAAGACTCATATCTGAGAATTCAGTGACACCTCAGAACCCTCATCTCAAAAAAAATATACACAATTTCTGCAGTTTCATGGGCTCTAAGAGTTATGGATTACCTCATACAGAAGAACTCTCAGAGCTTTTCTTGCTCTTACATGCTGTATCCGTATGAGTCGATAAATAGATAATGGTGAGGGGTAAGAAACTGTTTTAGACAGAGATAAAACAAATTAAGTACTATAAGAGGAATGAGAATTACTTGATAGTCTCTAGAAATCTTTGAGGCTAAAACAGTAATCCATCTTAACTGGATTATTGGAAATTCTGAATGAATTGAGGTCATAAACAAAATGGCCCCTGGCCCTACAAGATAGAATAAACTCTAAATAGGTCCCCACTTAACAAGTTTCATAGAACCACTTGTGAATGATTCTTGCCAAAACTACAAAAACCCCTGAATCAGATCAAGTGACTAGATTCGACTATTGATGCATACACAAAGGACAGAAAATAAAAACATTTTAAACTCCCATGCAGGGATTCAGATCATAAAAATATATACTATAAAATCTGCATGACCAACAATCCAGTTCTTTACACATAAACAGTAAGAAAACAAAAAAAATTGATTGGAATGGAACTTGTATACAGATACACATTTGTGAAATTTATAAAAATCTGGAAATAACACAAACCAAATAATTGGTGATATAAAGGAATTACTATTAATTATTTAGAAATGACAATGATATTGTGGATAGACTTGACAAAATAGGGAGAATGGGAGTAAATATTTGTGACTTTCCATTTGTTCTCTTAGAAATGACATGAAAGCAAGAGCAACCAAAGGAAAAAACAGATAATTTGGACTTTATCAAAATTCAAACTTTTATGATTCAAAGGACTATCATGAGTGTGAATGGTGAACTCAAAAATAGGGGAAAATATTTGCAAATAATGTATCTTCTATCTAGAATATATAAAGAGCTCATAAAAAGAAATATAATTCAATTTAAAAATTATCAAAGTATCTGGATAGACATTATCCAAAGACATGGTCAATTAAGCACATGAATGATATTCAACCCAGTTAGCCATCAGGGAAATTTGAATTAAATACTGGAAATACAAATACAGGATACTCACTACAGCCTTGTTTGTAATGAGATATCCACACTAGATATTCACTAGAATGTAGGCTTTACAGTATATATTTTTATAATCTGTATAATGGTACTGCAATTTAAAATGTTTTTGTCCCTGTCCTCTGTGTATTCTATACATCTACATTTGGATCTAGAAGTTTGATCTAATGAATGGATAGAATCAAACAGCCAGATAATAACAAATCTCACAGAGGCTGTGGAGAAATTGAAATCCTCAAAACACAGCTAATGGAAATATAAAATGTTGGAGCCACTTTGGAAACACTGTGATGTTTCCTCCAAAATTAAAGAGAGTTACCATTTGACCCAATAATTCTACTCCTCGGTATGTACTTATTAGAAGTAAAAATATACACACAAAAAAACTCACGCATGAATGTGTTCATAGTGGCCAAAAAGTAATAGTAATATTCATAGTAGCCAAAAGATGGAAACAATTCAAATGCCCATAACTACTGCATGTGGTAGCACACACCTCTAATCCCAGCAACTTGGGAGGTTGAGACAGGAGGATTGCAAGTTGGAAATCAGACTGGGCAACTTAGCAAGACCCTGTCTCAAAATAATAGTTTATCAAAAGCTAGGGATGAGCCAGGCATGATGGTGCACCCCTGTACTCCCAGCAGCTCAGAAGGCTGAGACAGGAGGATCATGAGTTCAAAGTCAGCCTCAGCAAAAAGCAAGGTGCTAAGCAACTCAGTGAGACCCTGTCTCTAAATAAAATACAAAATAGGGCTGGGAATGTGGCTTAGTAGTTGAGTGCTCCTGAGTTCAATCCCTGGTCCCCAAAAATAAACAAATAAATAATGAAAAGGCTAGGGATATAGCTCAGTGGTAAAGTGCCCCTGAGTATGATCCCCAACGCCCCCCCCCACAAATCTGTCAACTGATGTATGATGGATAACCCAATGCAGTATATCCAATAAAATGGAATATTATTCAGCCATATAAATGAAATATTGATCAATGCTACAACATAGAAAAACTTTAAAAATATGCTAAATATAAAAGACAGTTCCACAAAGTTTTTCTATGATTCCTTGTATATGAAATGTCCATATATTTACAGTAAATATTGTTTCATGGAGCTTTTGGTCAGTTAAATTTATTAAGTTGTGATGTAAAATGTACTTGTTATAGCAAGTGATGTTCAAAACAGCCTGAAAGCCACTCTTGTACATTATGTTGAGACAGGTGTTGGCTATCCATAATGTAAGCAAGTAGAATTTTTCTCCATGTCTTTGCAAGTTTAATCTTATCCTGTCACTATTTCTCTAATATCTTTTGACCCATTCGTGCTTGATAACTGGCTTTATACTGTCATCCTATAGAAACCTGGAAACTTCTGTGAATATAAACAACTTGTTGCTAAATCTCATGGCCACGTGTCCATCTTTATTTTTCCTGGGTTCTCTCACATTGGATTCCATTGATGCCTCCCTCTTTCCTGAAATGTTTGTTTGCCTTGGGGACACCATCTAAAGGATCTGTCTGGTTTATTGTCTTGGCTTTTTGTCTGGGTTCTTCTTCATTCAGTCATTAATGCCATGATTTATCAAGATTCTTCTAATGCCATGACTCTTTTCTTCTCATTCTGTACTTGCCTTGACTGGGTTCATCTATTTCCAAGGCTTGAACAACCACTGCTTTTACATACTGATGTACCTCCTTTAAATAAAATTAATGCACACCAGTAACAAAAATCCACATAGGCCCTTGCTTGCAGAGAGACTCTCTTTCTACTTAAGTAATCTCAGGTACTTCTTTTGGACTACAGAGATGAATCTGTTTTCTGGATATCTTCTCCTGAATATCTCACAAGTATTTCAAACTTTATAAGTCCAAAATTGAAGTCATTTTCTCTCTCCCACCCCTAGAAGTTTTCTTCTTCAAAAGTTCTCTTGGGGATTATAGTCACATAGTGAACTAGCCAGAGGATATTTTAGCCCTGTATCTCCATCACCTCATCCAAAGTCAACTTGTCCCCAAGTCCCATTGATTCTCTTCCTCTTTTATCTTTTCATTTGTCCCTTTCTCTCCCTCCTCCACCCTCTCTCTCTCTCTCTCTCTCTCTCTGCTTCCAGTTCCTTTAATTAGTTCCTCATCATCTCTGGTCTATTACAATTAATTACCTGGTCTTTTGTGCTGCTCTCCCTCTGCAACTCAGCCTCTACTTTCCTGACCAATTTATTTACCTCAAAAGCAGTTCTGCTCTTATCGGACTATGGTTTGTTTGCTAAAGATCTGTGTCATCCTCCTTCTAGCCTAATTTCCTGTATTGCTAAAAAACTAAACCCCATAAACTACAACAAACTGGCATTTCCAAGACTTCTTTGCAGTCACTTTTCTCAATTTGATAGAATTCTGCCAGTCTCATACACATGCCCAATATTTGGAAGAAGTTGGTGAGGCAGAAACCATATCTCTCAAACTTCTGTTAG